AAGGATGGGCTCATGTCCAGTGCCAGGGCTGCCATGAGCCAAACACAGTGTTGGCAACCTAATCTGGTTGTACCTGGTGTGAGCTGAATTCCAGACTCTGGCTGTCATTTCCCATCAGTTTGCTGGAATGCCCCCCAGCCCTCCCTCCCCAGGGTGCCTGTTCCCCTGGGGCACTGCTCCCTGGTAATCCTTCACTGCCTTCAGAGTGTGCAGGCTCTGACGGGTCTGTGGGGGGAAACAAGAGGGGTCTGTGCTCCCCAGCTGGTGCATAACCTGTTTGTGCTCCTCTGTGAGTGTGCGTGTCCAGATTTAATGCCTGAAGTAGGATGAGTCCCCTAGGACTCATTCACGAGCCATGCGCGTCCCCCACGCAGGAGGTTGCCTGCTCCTGACTGTCCTGTCAGCAGCTTCCCAGGGGTGTGTGTCTGCAGGGGCCCTGGGCAAGCACCAGCATGCTTGTGTTTTCCAGCCATCCCTCGGGATGTAGCACAGCTGGGATATTGGAAAGCAGCTGGGTTGGCCTTGCCCTGGCTAACTCAGGCCGGACTGACTTACGTTCAGCTCTTGGAGTTTGACCCTTTGGCATTACCCTTCACCCTTCCTGTTTTCATTTGGTATGGCTGATTTCTTTGGTTTTCCATTTCTAATGGCCATCCTGCAGCTCCCCTGAGCACCAGCAACCTCAGTTCGCTGTTGGGTGAGACCCCTGATTGCTCTGCCAGAGCAGGTAGAGATAATGAAGTTTCCGTGGGACATCTCTGCTCACAGTCGTGTCCCAAAGTCAGGACAGGGATGGTGACTTTGTGCCACAGCTCAGCTCCTGCCTGCACCCAGAGCTGCCTCTGTGTTTACCTGTGGAAACCAGACCTGCTGCCCTGGCTGCCACCTGGGAGGACAAAACCAGGCATAGCCACTGTGGCTCAGGCCAAGTCCCTGTCCTGCACTTCCAAATGCCCACGGCTGTTTGCAGCCAAGCCCTGATGCAGGAGGCTGCCTGGACAGGAATGGGCCTGCAGCAGCTCTGCTGGCACCAGAGCTGATGGGAAGCCTGTCTGGGAGGTGTGGAGTGTCCCATGTGTCATTCTCACTGTGCCTTTGCCTTGCTGCCCGTCACTCGTGCTTCCTCCTTGCCCGGAATAGGGCACAACCATGGTGCTCTCTGCAAGTGTGACAGCCCTGGTGCCTCTTGCTCTTCCCATTCCTTCCTTTCTCTGCCCTCTGTCTCGCCATGGTTGAACCCAGTGACCCTCTGCCCCTGCAGTCTGTGGGCAGGGCTTGATGGGAATCTGGCAGTGAGAAGGAGGAAGTAGAAGGGTGCAGTGATTGACCCCAGTTGGAGCTCCCTGCTCTGTGCCAACCCAAGTACCAGCTGCTCTGCTGGAGCAGGGCTCAGGAGCCATGTGGGGATGGCTGCCCCAGGAACTGCCATGGGAATATTAGGGCAGTCCCCAGGGCTGAGGTCTGTGCCTCAGCTCCAAGGTGGTTTTGTAATCATCTGACATTCATCTGACATCTGACATTTCGCCTTTGGAAAAATGTATTTCCTAGGGAGCTCCCCTCCAAGGCTGGGCTGACCACAGTGCCCTGCACCCTGGCACTGCTGGACCCCCACCAGCCTTGCCCAGCCAGACCCTCACCAGCCCACACTGCTGGACCCCTGCCAGCCCCTAACAAATGATTTTGCCATTTCATGGGGGGAAGGAGACATTGATTAACTCCAGCACTTGCCTTTCTGGAAAGGTTATGGCTTAATTGGTTGGACTTGAAGTCATAAATCATGCACTGAAGGACCAGCAGAGATAAGAAAATTTTTGCAGAATGTTGCAAAACACTTTTTGATAGTTAGGATCCAGCAGTGCCCACCCAGCTGTGGGGGCTAAGGGCAGCCAGAGCACAGGGCTCTTCCATGGAAACGATTCACCCTCAAGCCAGGGGCCAGAAATTCCCCCTGCTATCATCACTTAATCTCAGGATTTCCAAAATAGCCTTTTTTTTTTCTTTTGGAAAAAGAAAGCAACAGGAAAGCCATTGTTTGCTTTATTCAGAAGAATCAGAATTCCATCTGGTTTGCAAAATGATTCTGTTTCTTGCCAGGAAGTGCTATTCCTCCAGCCCAAAAACTGTAATGGGGTGGGGGATACAGCAGATCAGCTCTCAGCAGAGCAGAAAATTGAGTGAGGGAACTGTCAGGCCCAGCTTGGAATGATGCTGGAGAGAAGAGATTTTTGGCTCTCATGATGATCTCCAGGCTCCATCCAGGTGAGCACAGCTTTCACTGGCCACATGTTGCAGGGATGGGAAGTGAGCACACTTGGCCAGATGGCATGGGGCTGGGGAGCTGGCATGCTTGGCCAGCACAGGGATGGGGAGCAGGGACATATCATAACATGAAGAGGTAGAAATGTCCTGGCTGGAGTGACCTCTGTGCCATTCAGGATGTGGTGTTTGAAGAACAGGATGAAGCTGGCTGGGCTCACCTGGGACAGACTGTGTCCCTGGGGTCTCTAAGACAATGACTTTTAAACCAAAAGGAATGAGACAGACTCAGCAACTAGATTTCAGTGGAGTAGGGGCAGAAGCACTGGTAGGGAAACGAGTGTTGAGCTGGAGAAGACGGAGTTTAAAAGAGCTGTAAGGATAAGTTTGGACAACGGATAGGACTGGGAGTGGCAATGGGCAGAAAGTCCTGTGACAGAGCAGGGCTGGGGTCAGTCTTCATTAACGCTGCTGTTAATGACCCAGACAGGAGGAGTGCGGCACTGTCGGGGGGCAGCTGGGGCTGCAGCCTCCAGAGAGGAGCTCAGAGGGGCTTGGTTTCAGGATCTGGCAAAAACAAGGCTGAGGGGGGTATGAGTGATGCTCATCCAGACTGGGATGGGCAAGTGCCCTTTGCCGAGGCGCAGTATCCTGCAGGGCACGAGTCATGACTGTGTGGGGCTGGGAGGAGGAGTGGTTTTTTGGAACTGAAGAGATTGCTTCTCCGCTGATGTCTCTTGATTAGCTCATGTGTCAGCTGCCGGAGGGGGTCGGCTGGCCAGCGGCTGGCCCCGACAGCTGAGGTCCCGCCTGCCTTCGCCCGCTCCCGGGTGCTCAAGCGGGTGGTGCAGTACGGCAGGACTGACCCTTGGGGTGGGATCTCCGGGGACCCCAGGCTGCTTTGGACTCATACCAGCAAGGTCGCACCCAGCTCAGCCGGGTCCCCAAGGCTGCAGGACGGCGTGTTCCCAAAACAGAGCGGAGAGGCTGGTCAGGATGTCACCACCCTTGCCATGTAGTGGGAGGGAGAATGGGACACAGAGGCACTTAACCCTTATGAAAAAGTCCTTTGAGCCACGACCAAGGTGCTGATGGTGGGCAGGGGAGTCAGGTTGTGGGCACAGCCTGCATGGGGGGCAGAAGGGGGTCTTTGCAGTGGCACTGGCTGCCTGTAGGCACTGG